ATGAACTGAATCCACTAATTCATTAAAAAGATTTTACGCAAAATACAAATGAATTAATGCACATACATATAGCGCATGAGATGTGGTCCACTTTTGTGATGCTTTATTAAGCGTTAAGGCCCTTGCACACTGATGGTGTTTTGACAATTCAGGGCCACCGAATCACGAATACGAAAAAACGCATATAAAAATTTCGGACTCAGTGTGCAAGGGCCTTTAGTCCTCGTTTATTTTGATTGCATAGAAAAGAATGACCAGCACAATCTTCAATTTTGGGGTTTCATCACCCCCTTTCCAACTCATTGAAATCTGCTAACTTCTGGTGTCTTTTTTGATTTTCTACCAATAGCTATGTTTCATCCACCTATTTTTATTCGCATTTTGGGATATCGCATAAAACCCCCCGGATGGAAACTTTTAAAAATGTTTTTTTAACGTTTAATTGAGACAGATAAAATATATATATTTTTTTATAAGACGACATGCGCATAAAATACGATGAAAACACATTTACCAAATAAATCCCTTGATGCGCAGCAAAAAAAACCTTACGTCACTTTGCCTCAACACTGGATGTGATTGGATAACTAGACTAACCAGCAGATCACTTTCATCGCACAGCATCTCAAATGTTGGTTTGATCATTCTGAAATGCCTGAGCCAAAGTCTATCATCAGAATGAGTTGGTATAATGACCTCCCAGAAAGTGTCTCACACGAGTGTGTTCACAAACACCAGGCATCCGAACGCAAGATAACAAGATGGCCTTTATTGCGTTTTGTCTGCGCGCTGTGATACTACAAATTTGCACAAGTTAAATTGTCAACTTTGGAAGAAAACTATTGTCTTCCCTACTTCCAGCTGTATTCAAGTAGGCAATCCAAAGATCATAATTGGCCATAATTCATTCAAAGAGTTATTTTTGACATAGATATTATGCCTGAAGTCAGTAATCATATTGTTTCTACTTGAAGTGAAAAGTTTTTCCACTTCCCTGTTCTTACCCTTTAAGTAATGATGGGTCCTTTTAAGCGTGGCTCTGCACTTAATCCTCACTCATTTTCTCCTAACCGTCAAAGCCCGGTCCTGCAATTAGACTGAAATGTCGCCAGACTCAGTGCGTTCATGCCTCACTCCCACTTTCGATAGCCTCCACCCACTGCCCCCCTCACATTTACTCCGCTTTTAGCAGAAGCATGCATCCTCCTTCCAAATGGACCTCACGCAGGCCTTGACTCTGCACTTGTTTTTCTGCAAGCCGTCAGCTCTGGTGTCACCCAGATCCTGTGCCAGCTCCACATCTATTACTCACCTAATTGATGTAGAAGCCTGTGTGCTGTGCTGCCACCCTGCAGATTAACCAGCCAGAATTATTTTCACTGCAGCCATTGCGACCCATAGAGCATCTAGAGTCTAGTGTTACATTACTCTGTACTGCCCCAGAGGGCATGTGGGAAAAAACAGGGGGCATCCTAGTGTTTGGAGCATGATATGGACTTCAGCCAAAAAACAGTGCAGTATTTAGGGCTGTCCTGAGGAGCATGCAAACACGTTAATTTGTGTTCAGATGCAGGTGAATGTCTAATAGATAATAAGCATGGGTTCATTTGGTTATGATTTATTGATTTCTGTTCTGAGATGTTTCGTCTTTCCAACAATGCCTTGCTCTCAATATGCACCATTGAGAAGTGAAAAACATCACAAAATTGTTTCAGACATGGAAATAGGAGTGACTATCTCTTCAGAGAAATATCTTAATCACATTAGACTGACCTTGGAATTTATTGTAATTTTTTTTTTTTTTTTTTTTTTTAAGGAAGGTAATTTACATTAGGATGACAGGACATTTGGTGCCAGTGCTGTGTTTGCCAAATGTTAATCCACATTTGTTGGGCAGCAATCCAAGCTACTGTTGATAATAATAGATACAGGGCCTGGTTAGCGTGATTCATGCTCATGCGTCATCTTTCCACACATTATGAAACCGTATATTGTTGATCTCATGAATGGAGATATATTTCTCTTATTGCAAGAGTGTCACATTGAATATGTTTGGTCTCAGGGCCTCTTTGTCCATGTCAAAATTGTTTTTAAACACACTACAAACAAAATGTGTGAAATAACTTTTTGCCAGATGAATCATTGTTGTTGGCAAAGTTAAATATAAATCACTGAAATATGTGACCAAGTTAAAAACTCAGACAAATAATGTAAAATAAAAATAATGAAACACTTGACCAGAACTATAGGCTCAGGCTGTAATGTTTTGTGACCTAAAATGTATTTTACTGGCCCCATAAAGTTTTATTTGTAGGAATAGATTATTTTCCTCAGCATGGATCATGTGCTAACCACATGAACCATGAAAGTTGTGATTCATGCCTGAAACTTATTGTGAAAAGACAGTAACTCATTTGTGTCTGCTATTTTCAGTAGCTGCCTCAGTACACCTGAAGATGCAGTAAACAGTTAATCTCTCAGCTACATCAGTTCATTTATATGTTATGTTTATATTATAGGTTTTGGGACTGGTCGGTCTATTATTAGAATGTGACGTTTTAGAAAAAAACGTCTTTCACTTTGATTGAATCAGTGGCTAATTAGGAGTATATTATCAAATGGAAAATGTTACACTGTTTATTGATGTTTGATATTATCTTAAAGGTTGCAAGTGATAGATTAAGAATAAACAAAGGATCAAAACTAATTTTCGCTCAGTTTTAATTTTAACTGTCGACATTTAATTCAACGTAGAATAGTTGTCAAATGATACATTTCTCTCGTGAAAAGTGAAAAATGGCCTCTCAGTTTAGACAGTATCAACATTATATTTCCATTTTACCAGATGTGTAGCCAGATCATTTACAATCCCCAGAAAGGTCATGTGAATAAAAGTTAGTGAAAAGATCTGATATTGCCTGTGAAATCGGAGCTCTCAGGTTTGGAAGCGGAGAATAAATTGTGGAATAAAACTGTCCAGACAGACGTTCACTGGATAAAAAAAATAAAAAAAACCCACCTCTGAGTCATTAGACGCATGCAGAATAGCCTACTCACATACCCCGTGTAGACAATGAAAAATGACTTATATATTTTTGGTTTGGTCAGTCTTTCAGGCATGGACAATCCCCAATCAAGTTGCATGTGTTAGCTGTGCACGAATCACAAAGTAGGCTACTGAATTGTAAAACACAATTAGCATAGGCTAAATTGTGCACCATATCAAATTAACAGCTATAACGCTTCTTTTGATCAATATTTGTTCAGGACGATAATTGTGGAATATTTAAATTACTGTTGTAATTATGCGATCTAAAATGTATATTATTATTATTAACGGTCATGAATATAAGTAGTAGGCTATGCGCTGAATTTATTGCATTGTAAATCATGAAATGTTGTACGCCTATGATATGAATTCAGTGGTAGGCCTATCTTCCATGGCATTTCATTGCGTCATATCGCGCAGGCATCCTTCTCACTGTAGACAACACTAAATGATCGTGTCACACAGGCTAAACCACCTGCCTCTGTATCCTTTATTGGGGTGTTTTTTTTCCCCTTTTCATTTTCAGTGGACAATTAATTTGTTTGATGAATGTATGCAAAATTGCTGTTTTTGTTGTTGTTTTTCTAGTAGCCTATTTATTTGAACTGTTATAACGTGGACTGTTATGGTTAATGTTTTTGTCGAATTTCTATGAATTCGTACGCGCTGCAAGAATAAATAGCCCATAATTTATGAGTAATAGCCTATAATGCAAATTATATAATTAAATATGAATTATTATTATTATTGTTAAATATTGACACATTAGCCTTGGAATAGGCTACATTCACTTTAAGGACATTTAAACAAATGCGTGACTATAACAAAGCTGCAAGAAAGGAAAACTTTCTGTATGGAGCTAATAGGCTACTAACCAACAAAACGCACTGTTTTCTCATGCTAGATCAGCCTTTATCCGACATACGCGGCTGTTATCCGACGTCCCTCGTGGTGAGCTTCAGCCTTATTCTGCCAATTTAACCGAGGCCTCGTTACGCTAAAGTAGGCTACACGACGGAACAATGCAAAAACAATAATTAGACGCTTTAATCAATGCACTAATTATATCAAATGCATACGAGCCAAAAAAATCATTGGGTTATAGCCTGAATTGTATTTTCTATAATTAAGTTAAAATTAGCTATTTTTAGTATCATTTCTTTGCATCTGTAAGTTTACCCCCGTTCTGCGTAAATCGACGAAAAATCCCATAATGCCAAATATACCGGGTATTGAACAGCAGGCGATTTTTAGAGATGAAATATCTTACTGCTGATGTGAGCTGGCCCTTTGAGCTTGAATTATGGCAAAGAAGATTTGGTGCAGCTGAAGGGGACGATCTCTCTCTCTCTCTCTCTCTCTCTCTCTCTCTCTCTCTCTCTCTCTCTCTCTCTCTCTCTCTCTCTCTCTCTCTCTCTCTCTCTCTCTCTCTCTCTCTCTCTCTCTCTCTCTCTCTCTCTCTCTCTCTCTCTCTCTCTCTTTTACACACACACACTTATTTTGTTTTATCCACAAGTAGCCTATTATCAGCCGTGATATACTACCTGACTCTAAAATACATTTAGTAAATAAACCCTAGAGAATATACATTTTAAAGCACTTTTTTGTTGTTTAAAAATGTATTATAATTTGTAAGCATCGACAGCTTGTAGCCTGCTGAATGTATTTTTCTGATATGTAATTGTACTTAATATATTTTACCAAAAATGTAAATGTGCTATATTACACTAACGTTGTACTAAAGTGTAAATAAGAACGAAGAGAATATCGACAAATCATTAATTTGTAGTAAAGAGTGGGAGCGTTAAGTGTAATCCGGCTGAGCTCCTCCTCCCGGCCATGCCCTCTAATTAACGGGGCTCCTTTCCTGCTAAAGTCTGCATCAGACTGCAACATAGTCAAAGAGCAAGAGGGAGAGAGAGAGAAAGAAAGAGGGAGAGATAGGGAGAGAGAGAGAGAGAGAGAGAGAGAGAGAGAGAGAGAGAGAGAGAGAGAGAGAGAGAGAGAGAGAAGTGCCACTGGATGTAATTGATTGTCTTGCTATCAAGAATAACTTGTTAGTAATAGTCAATTCTGGCTGCTTTTGAGGCTGACTGTTTCCACTGAAGCATCAGAGGTTGTCAGGCTGCTTCTCACTGAAGCTCAACCGTTATCCAGGAGCTGAGGACAGCAGACGTGGCGTTTTTTAAAGAAAGACTTAAAGTTCTCCAACCCTGCGGCAAAAGCAACAACATGCTGCTGATCGGCTACATCTAATTCTACGGATTTGGGGATATCTTCTCATTCAAGTTGCTCTCAATAGTTTTTATAAACTGAGCCGTTCTGCATTGCGCGAAATCGAGAAAAAAAAAAGCATATTTTTAAAACAAGCTAAAAAGACAAATAATGACCTCCAAAGAAGACGCAAAAGGCGCCTCGGTTGAGGATCGAAGGCGCAGTCCGTTGGACCATCTTCCTCCCCCTGCTAACTCAAACAAGCCCCTCACTCCGTTCAGCATAGAGGATATTTTAAACAAACCATCAGTCAAACGAAGTTACACAATTTGCGGCACGGCGCACCTGCTCTCGTCCGGTGAGAAGCACCCATCCACGGGCCATCCCCTCTCCAACCGCGCGCTGCTCACCCAGACATCTCCACTGTGCGCCCTGGAGGAACTCGCCAGCAAAACCTTCAAGGGACTGGAAGTCAGTGTTCTACAAGCGGCAGAAGGTAAACAAAAGGCCCGCAAAATTGTTTAGGCTGTCACGATATAATTTTTAGGGACACTATTCCTAAAAACTATCACTCAAAAAAGAATGTGTTTTGTCAACAGCTAAAGTAAAACTCAGTAGGCTATAGTATTTTTTACGTTTTATTTGTTTAAACGCTTCATTTTTGTGTTAATTAATTATCGAATGCATTTGTTAAAATAACCTGAACAAAGCACAAAAATTTGAGATTAATTTTGTGCATGTGTAATTAAAAATAAATTGTTAAATGATAGCTAGGCTATATCCACGTGCAATTAAAAAACAAATGGCTACAATATGTGTGCATGCATGTGTAATTTAAAAAAGGATTTATAGGCTATATTCGTATTTTCAGGCCTATTTTGTCAATTGAAGCTAAACAAATAAAGACTCCTGAAGACATTTTAGAAATGATAGTGTAGGCTATTTATATCAATACAGGCCTGTATTTGAGAAAAGAAATTAAAGAAAAGTAGCAGGCTCTGAATGCATTTTAATGTCGCTGCATTATTTTTGTTCGTTCGATTTAGGAAGAGACGGCATGACACTCTTCGGTCAGAGGAATACCCCCAAAAAGCGGAGAAAGTCGAGAACAGCCTTTACCAATCACCAAATCTACGAACTGGAGAAAAGATTTCTGTATCAGAAATATCTTTCTCCTGCTGATCGGGATCAGATCGCTCAGCAGCTCGGGCTCACCAATGCTCAAGTCATCACCTGGTTCCAGAACCGTCGAGCCAAACTCAAAAGAGACCTGGAGGAGATGAAAGCGGACGTGGAGTCGGCCAAATCAGTAGGCAATGTACCTTATGAGAAATTAGCCAAACTAGCAGACCTAGAGAAATGCGTTAATGGCACTCTCGGAGAATCAGGGGCCAAGTCTCCAACGCGGTCTAATCACGAGCACGAAGGCACCAACAAACTCCACATGTCACCATCATCACCATTTACAGACCACACAACGAGCAAAGAGTGTTCCGAGGACGAAGACGAGGAAATTGATGTCGATGACTGATTTTCCTTGAACAGCATCGGTATTATTTACCTTTTTTTCTGAGATGGTCCTAGTTGAAAGTGCCATTAATGCACCAAATGTATTAAATGACTTGTATTAAAAGCAAATATAAAAAAAAGGAAAAAAACTAAATCAAAGCAAGCATGGGACAGTTTCTTCAGATCTATTTATGCAGTGGCAGTATTGTAATCATTTAGCCTATTCGTTTAAACAGATAGCTGAAGAGCAATAAGTACATTGATAATATTTCAGTCAGATATAAACAGACAGACACACACACACACGTATAGCACGATCCCCAACGCAGATTTTTTTTTTTTTTATCAGGTTCTGACTACATTGAATGCATGTTTTATTTTGTTTCACGAAATTATTTTAGTTGAAACGGCTGCAGATCATAGGCCTAGATATCTCAAAATATCCCGAAAATGAATTCACACGCGCAGCCCCCCTGCGTGTCTCTATTGTGCTTTTTGGTCTATGACTAAAATCGTTTGATAAAAGAGTGTATTATAAAACATTTCCTACAAAAGCTATATCACAGGAACAAATCGACTTCTCTGATTAAATCTGGATTGTCACATTTTAATATATTTCTTATGGTTTGTATGCCTGTAAGTGCCTTTTAAGCCAGGAAACCATTTAAACCAAGTGTACAAAGTGTAATGTATTTAAAATGAAATAAAAATGCCTTTCTCTAAATTTTTGACGTTAGTCTGATAGTCTTATTTATCGTTTTCGAAATAAGCAATCACGTTAATATAAACAAAGCTTGTGTAAAATAGCATTTTGAAGTGTTTTTGTTGTTGTTGTTGTTGTTTATATTTGTAGCCTACTGTTATTTCAGTGCACCAACACTCTTTTGAAGTGAATTGAATGTGTTTTAGATTTGACATTTTACGCTTTTGATTTTCAAAATGGCATAACATGTTTTCCTGTCCCCACGATGTGTTTCAATATCCACAATGGATGTGTGTGAGAAACAGGAATCTGGATTGATGAATGCGCGCATAAAGGATGCCCAAAAACGCAGGGTTTTTGGCCCGTTTCTCCGCGGTTGAAAGACGCTATTTCCCTGCAAAGCGAAGAGATGCAGTCATTTCTAGCGTAAGGCGTGAAAACTGGGGACAAATGAGCAGTCTCCCCTGATGTGACAAGCTACAATGAAGCATGCTCTGCCTCCCGCGGCTCTCAATACGGAGACAAGCGTGTCCCACCGAATAAAAAGGACACAAACGTTTGGAGGCCATATGGTTTTTGAATTTTCCTCACAATTTTCAGACAATTTGATGGATTGAGCTAGCCTTCTTTTTAAAGTGTTTCGCTCAGTTTTCACAAAGGCAATAATGCGCACAGGGGCGAGGGCATCTGGGCCTATTAATGTCCCCTCTTTTCTCTCCTTTCACTCGGCTGTTTTAAACAAGTCAATGAATTACAATGATACTGACTCGTCTTGTTAAGAGGTTGTCTTCTGCCTTTGTTTGTTTGAGTGTTTGGCTTAAAATAATAAAGTTACCATTTTGGCTACGCGTAAAAGCAGAGCATATGGCTGGAGTGACACTATGTTTGGAATTAGAGCAAAATTCCTTACGGGGTTTGACCGAGTTATTTCTTTAGACAGTGTATGTTTTAGATGTTGTTGTTATATATATATATATATATATATATATATATATATATATATATATATATATATATATATATATATATATATATATATTATAGGCTATATAAATAATTCGGCCATGTTTTTTTGCACGTTTCTTTTTCAATTCGTAACAGATTTGATAGGCATTTGTGTATTAGATGAGATCTGTTAAATAATAATTCTATATTAATTATTTATTCTAATTTTGCCCTGCAGATTTTATTTAAACATTTCTTAAATAACAATAATAATAAATAGGCTATTATTAGTAATAGTATTATGTACTTTATTATTATTATTATTATTATTATTATTTACATGCATTTAATTCAGTAATATCATTATTATACACATTCAAAACAAATAAAAATATTTGTAATGAAAGTACATTTATACAATATAAGGTTATTATTTATTAATTGTTACTCATAATTTTTTTATCATTTGTTTACTCGTCCGCTTATATCCAATGTAGTCTAATAATTTTGGCAAATATCTTTCGTAGTCGAATTGCAGAAATGTGGATGATAGCCTACAGTCGAGTGAAAAAAGTTTTTTATTCGTGATTCCATTATTCGTGTTATGCAAATGATTCTGTATCATAAAAATTAAAGATCTCCGTCGCAGATATTTTAAGCAACATGAAGCGGCTGTATAGCGGGATCAGAGATGATACGCGGACAATGTGAGATTTGTCACCGCTCCATTAACATGAGCAGACGCCAGAGTCTCCAGCACTGTCTGCTCATGCGCCTCTTTGCTGCAATAGAATCATCACACACCTTTTGTATGTGATTGTGATTTACCGTTTTATCCAACTTTGAACGTTGTGGTTATACTTGCCCACATCAAACACACAGACCAGAGGGACGCATTTAGGGCTAGCTCACAAATGAGAAGACTCAGATGTCCTTATGCAGGGTAAGTCCGTCCCTCTCTCTTCGCGCTATTTGCACAGGCAGAAAGTGGAAAATGTATATAAGGGGTGCTGATATATCAGGGGCGCGCGAGCTGGTGGGGTTCAGTTCCTTATTTTATGAGGTGTTGTCAAATGTGGCAAAGATAAGTAATACTACAATCTGAAAGAGCATAACGTGGTAATTAATCCCAAAGTCTTAAGTGTATTTCAGCTCAAGAGAGAGAGAGAAAAAATCTCTAATTCAATCGCCCGGAAAATTGAAGTTTGATGCATGAGTCCCTGCTGAAACAATGGGTTTTGCAGCCTCCCTCCCTCCCAACCATCCCAACTCTCTCTCTCTCTCTCTCTCTCTCTCTCTCTCTCTCTCTCTCTCTCTCTCTCTCTCTCTCTCTCTCTCTCTCTCTCTCTCTCTCTCGTCTCTCGTTCGGTGTGAGTGTGAGCGTGAGCGTGAGCGTGTGGAGCGTCGTGAGTGTGGAGCGTCGTGAGTTTCTTTTCCTTTTTCCCTTTGTTTTTTCTTTTCTTTTTTTCTTATTTATCACTTTATTTAATTTTTTTGGATTGTTTAAGTTTATTTATCTTTTTTGGGGTCGCGTGGGGTTTCCCCTTGCGTGACCATGGCGGACTCACGAATTGGTGTTCTAAAGAATCTCACGCGGCGTCACGGTGTTAAAGTGGCGTCCGCGGTGAGTGTTGAAGATTGTTGTTTGGCAATGGGAGAAGTTGTTGGGCATGACAGTATTTTGTCGGCGTCTAAAATGAATAGTGCTGTTGTGGTCTTTTTGAAGTCGGTTGAGAAGGCAAACGAATTAGTGGAAAAGGGAATTGTTATAAATAATCTCTTCACACCTGTTCTACCTCTTTCAACACCCTCAAAAAAAGTAACATTGTCTAATATTCCACCTTTTTTTCTGATGATACTTTGGTTGAGATCTTGTCCCGTTATGGAAAGCTGGTTTCACCAATTAAGAAAATCCTCATTGGTACTGCTTCACCACTGCTAAAACATGTAGTTTCTTTTAGAAGATTTGCCTTCATGATTTTGAAAGACAGTGAAGAACTGGATTTGACTTTTAACATTAAGGTTGACAACTTTGATTATGCTTTCTATGCTACAACTGATAAGATGAAGTGCTTTAACTGTGGTGGGGTAGGCCATCTGATTCGGACTTGCCCAAAAAAGAATAAAGATCGTTCATCGACTGATGTGCAAAGCATGATGGAGGCTAGTCTAAATAGTGATGAGGAAAGGGTTGAAGCAGGGCCTTCTAATGCTCCCATTCTGAGTGTGAAAAATGTGACTGTTATAGAGAATAGTGGCGTTTCTGGGGCTCAGAATGTAGTTTCTGATGATATCACTGAATCAGTAGAGTCTTTGCAGGAAGGTGAGTTGAATGCTACTGCTGTAGTGAGTGTAGGAGTCAGCGATGTCATTACTGAGTCAGTTTTGATAAAGGATAAAAATAATATAAAATGTCAATCATTTGAACTGTGTGATGATGCTGTTGATCTAGAGTCAGATGCAACTGAGTTTAAAATTCCAGGTAAAAGGAAAAGTTCAAGTGAAGTTGAAAGTGCTAAACAGAAAAAAACAAATGTAGTTGATGATGATGACCAAGAAGGCATGGAAAGTGGCAATGAGTCTTCAGATTCAAACTTCAGTTTTTCTCAAAGAGCTTCATCCAGTCGTGATTATGAGGTAGAAGACATTAAAATATTCCTCAAAGCAACGAAAAATAAGAGAGGAGTACGTGTCTGTGAATATTTTCCAGACATCAAACAATTTGTTGACAAAACCAAAATGTTCATGGCGGAAAGCTTATTTACAAACAAGGAAATCTATCGGTTAAAGAAAATTGTACGAATTTTAAACCCTGATCTTGTAAATGATAATAGCTAAAAAAACAGATGTGACACATGGGTTTCTAGTTTTGTTTTTATCAACTTTCGCTTGTTTTTTATTTTCTTCTTTTCTTCTAAAAATGAATGAAGTTAATATTGCTTCCTTGAATATTAATGGAGCAAGAGATATTAAGAAAAGAATGGAAATTTATGAATTTGTGAAACAAAATAAGTTAGATGTGGTGATGCTGCAAGAAACTCATAGTGATCTAAAAAATGCTTCTGATTGGGCTAGAGAGTGGGATGGTCTTTCTTTTTTAAGTCATAATACTTCACTAAGTGGTGGAGTAACCATTCTTTTTGCAAAGAATTTTAACCCACATTCTTTTCAAGTAGAAGAAATAGTAAAAGGTAGACTTTTAAAAATAAGAGCAAACTATGACAAGAATGTTATTGTTTTTATTTGTGTGTACTGTCCTGTCTCCGCAATAGAGAGAATGGTGTTTTTAAATATATTGTGTTCTGTGTTACAAAAATGTAATCAAGAAGAGTTTTTGTTTTTGGGAGGTGACTTTAACTGCACTGAATCTAATCTAGATAGGAATCATTTAGAACCTCATATACCTTCTAGAAATCGATTGATTCAATTTGTTAAGATGCATGAACTGTGTGATGTTTGGAGACGATTAAAGGGCATGCAAAAACAGTATACTTGGACTCATGTGCGTGATAGAATCATTTCTATGGCAAGATTGGACCGATTTTACGTTTTCAAACACCATTATAATATTATAAAGAATTGTCACATTGTACCTGTTAGTTTTTCTGACCATTGTATGGTCAAATGTTCAGTTTTTATAAATCTTTTAAAACCTCAAAGTGCGTATTGGCAATTCAATACTGCCTTATTAAGTGACACACATTTTAAAGAGTGTTTTAAATTTTTTTGGGAGGATTTTAAAACTAAGAAAGGTTTGTATAACTCCGTACAACAATGGTGGGATGTAGGAAAAGCCCAAATTAAGCAACTTTGTTTACAGTTTACTCGAAACATCACTACAGAGACTAATTTTAGAATGAGTATCTTGGAGGCTGATATTTTAAAACTCCAAGAATTGGCAGAGTCTACTGGTACAAGAGGTTTCCTAGATTTACTTTTAGACAAAAGAACACAATTGGCTGATCTACTTGGTTCTAGGACACAGGGGGCCTTGGTCAGGTCGAGATTTCAGAATATGAATCAAATGGATGCTTCAACCAAATTCTTTTTTAATTTAGAAAAAAAGAATGGTCAAA